CGGGGGGCCGGGGCTGGGGCGAGCCGGCGGCGCGGTGCCCCGGGCTGCCGCCCCTCATTGGATCCGGCGCCTCCTCTTCCTCCTCCTCCTCCCGCCCGCCGCTGCTCTCTCTGCCCCGCGCCGGCAGCGGCTGCAGGCGTGAGGCTGCCGCGCCGAGCGGGGAGGAGGGAACCGGGGGAGGGAGGGACCGGCGGAGGGAGGGGGAAAGGGCTCATTCAGTTTGAATTTGCGGTAATTTAATCCGCTCGCACGCGGCGGGAGCAGATGCGATCCAAGCCCGGCAGCCTGGGTGTTTTCAAATCCGGCTGGCCCCTCCTCCCCTCCCCTCGCCCCGGCACCCCAAACCGGGGGCGGCAGCGCACCCCTCCCTGGGCTTGCACCAGGGGACCCGGCTGCCGGGCAGCGCCGTGACTCTGTCTGCCCGTGGCTCTGCTTTATTGCTGCCCGAGAGCATCTTTTGTGCCGCTTTTCCCCACCTTCCTTCCCGAGCGCGCCTGAGCCCTCCTCACTCCCGTGGCGGGGAAACGCGCTACCGCGACGCGATCGCTGCCGCTCCGGCGGGCTCCGGTCCCGCTCCCCGCCTCGTTCACCACCCGCTTCTCCATCTTACGCCTCCCGGCCCTCTGCGCTCCTCTGCCTGCGGCGCCCGCCTCCTCCTCCTCCCTCCTCCTCCTCCTCTTTTGCAGCGCGGGGGTCCCGGCCGAGCACCCCCCCGCCCCTCCCCGCAGCCTGCATCCCCCAAACGCTCTCCGGGGCTTGGTGGACCGGGAGAAAGGAGGCGACCCGGGCGGCCATCTGCCGCAGGCTGCTGCGTCCAGGGGACTGTCATTTCCCTACCCATCTTCCCCACCTCGCGGAGAGGGAGAAGAAACGGGTTTATTGCCATTTTCACTGCCCAGCCCCCCTCCACCTAGCTGGAGGCTGCACTGGCAAACAGGAGGGAGAGGGAGAGCAGGGACGGGGGATGAGACAGAGCTGGCAGAGCTACCCTGCTTTGAGTTTCTGATGGTCAGTGATGCTAGCAACCTTCAGTTCGTGCTGTGGACGATCCAGTAAAACAGTTAATTCATCAAAATGCTTCACGGCATGGAGGATTTTTAACTTAAGACCTGTCTTTAGCATGGTACCAGCAAGGAAGTCATCAAGGACCCCTGTTTACACTTAGGCTTAATCTACGTTTTCAAGTTTTGCCCGCGTGGTTGTGTTAGTTAATGCTTTGAAAAAAAGAAATCACGCGCACCCTAACAGATGCGAGCTATGTCAGCAAAACCTCCCGTAAAGATGCAGCTGTACCTGATAAAAACCAGTTTCGAGCTTTGCTGCAATCACACTCCCGCCCCATGTGAAGCTGTTTTTCCCACCAGAGGGCTGGCGAACACAGCTCTCCCCGCGCACACGCTGCCACCTCTTTTTAAGCTCTTTTTAAGCTCTTCTTTTACTCCTTAAAAATGTCAAGCCAATTTTACACCATGCTGCTGTCCATTGGCCTTTGCTTCTGTCTCGACTCCGCTTCTATCACTTCGCTGGGAGAACTGTACCCCTCTGGCCCCTTCCTCTGGAGTAGTCCAGCTGAATCACTAACCGGATTTTGGCTGGCACGGGTATTGATTAGCCACGCCCTCCTTCCACACCACCTTGCTTTGGTAAAACTTCCTAATTTAAGCCAGAGCTGAGCAATGTCATGATTTTACGGTGCCGATCATAATGGATAACAATTTGTAGTCTCCCCCGTGTCGGTCCAGGCTTCCCAAGCCATAGTTAATCAGATTAAAACATACCCAGGTCTGGCTTTAGGCAAAAGGTGGGCAGCTGCCCAGGGAGGCTGGAGGCAAGGAGCTCCGGGCTGGCTGTGCGGGACGAGGCATTGCTGCCGGAGGCGCTGAGCCCTGCCACCTCCTGATGACCCCACGGCTGGGGCTCGTGCGGGTGCAGCTGGGGTACGAGCCTTTTCCACGCACCATGCGAGCAGCAGGCTAAGCACTCTTTGTCAGCCCTCTTGGCCCAGTCACGTCAGGAGTCGTGCCAGTCTCTTCCCACACTTAGGAGCAGTCCTTATCCAGACCCCTTCTCTTTCCTTGCAGGGGTAAGAAAGCATCTAGTCTGCTGGGAGAAGAAGAAGAGATGGAGGGAGCAGGTGCCCCTGCTGCGTGGAGCTGGTGGCCGATAGCTGTGTGCGATGAAGGCCCTTACTGCAAGGCAGAATACGGGGAAAGAGAACTGGGGAAGCAGGCTCGCACTCCCGATTTTTGGAGCTCAGCTGGCCACCTTCCACTATCTGACTTTGGGTTCCCTGAAACTTTTACTGACCCCTCCAAAATGTATTCCCAGTGGCTAAATACAGCACGGTTCTAGTGCTGAGAACCCTGGAACTGGCTCCACACCACCGAACTCAATGAAATATATGTTTTCAGATGAAATTTCAAACAAAACAGAAATCCAGCACTGTCACTGTAGGCAGAAACTGGAGAAGGGAAAGCTCCAAAGCCAATAAATAACATTTTGGTTTTAGAATATACACTCATCCCATGCTCTGGATACATTTACAAATATTACAGCACACGGCCACCTAAAACAAAAGTCTGCACATTCTCTGACCTACCACTGTCCTGGGAGCATTTGGTCCCCTGTGGGAAGGTGTAGGGACACAGGACCATGACACGCTGTTTGAACTGATGGCTGCTGTGCTGAAGGTGTGCTCCTCGTAGCTGGGGTGCACTTTGACAGGACACAACCCTAACAGCAGAACTGGTCCTGCCTCAGCTCTCCCCGCCCGTGCAATGCTGTGGCAGCATGTTTTTGCTGCTGTGCTATAAACAGGGTTGGTGAGGTGATCCAGGCTTTTTAAAAGTGCCCAGAAGTTTAAGACAAAACTCCTCTACTGACCTGACCACCAGAGAAATATAAGTGGAAGTGCACAGTGAGGCAGTGCAGGTAACCTTCTACCACACTCTGCCATGCCAATGTCATCCTCAGACAAAAAGAAGGTCTGCTATCAGACCTTCGTCACCCTCCTGAAGCAACTGGGATTGATAAATCTGGTTCCCAACAAAGCTGAATTGTCCAGGAGAGAACTTCATTGATGTTTCCTAAATCAAAGCCGGAAGTGGGAAGGTGCCAGGAGCATCCCTCTGTTTGCAGGGAAGGTGACCCAATCCTTGCACAGGTCAGGACAGCGGCAAGGCGAGATTGTTCAGTGGTGAGTCTGGGTCTACGTCACAGACTTCTCTGGTCGGCATGATATATGTGAGGTTTATAACAATATTGTTGTATGGAAAAAAAAAAGGAAAAAGCTGTACTGAAGACAGTTACATTGGAAGAATAAAAAGTACCAATTGCTTTCCAGTTGTGGAGAGGCTATATTCTATACTATTTAAAGATATTACTATGCTAAGAGGGTTTGCAACTATATTTGCTATGTAGCTGTTCTTGTAACGGACTGATACATGTTTCAGACAGACAATGCAAGAATTCCCAAGTGTCTCCTATGTAGAGAATTTGAACAAGGAAATAGGAAACATGGCTGCCCAAGAAAATGCTGGAAGACACGCCTGGATGCAGCTTCTGGCTAATCCGTATATACGCAGCAATGGAACGCAGAGGAAAGGCGTAGCCCTGTTTGAACAGTGACAGCATGCCCTTGGGCAGGAAGAGCTGTAAGGTAAAGAACGCATTAGCTAGCAGCAGGAGACCAGCTCATAGTTTAAATGGCAATAAGCGCTACGCAGCAAGAGATGCTTAACATGCACAGGCCTGCATCCTCCGCTCCCTGGCTTTAGAGCTCGGCTCAGCCACCCCATGCCGGCCTCAGCATCTGTAAGTATGGATTCCCAAAAAGGGATGCACATCAGTGTCAGTAAATCCTTACTGGCGTAGGAGAGGTGAGCTGAGACCACGTGCCTTCATCCTCTGCTTCCCTGCTGGTGTCACCTGGGGAAGGGGGCAACCTCACACACTGCAAAACAAACCGGACCCTTCCCTTGCCCAAAGAAATATGCTTACAGACAGACAGACAGAGGTATGTGCTTTTGTTTAGGCTCACGGCTCCCACTCAGCCAACAGAAACATGGTTTTGGCCACTGTGATGATTAAACAGATGTTGACAGTATGTTTTTCAGTCAAACACCTGAAAATCAACTTATTTTAAAAATAAAAGTGGCAAGAAATGGCCATTGCAGCAAACATTAGGAGAGCTCTGAAAGAACCCAGTGAATTTTTAATTTTTTTTAATTGACTCAACTTGAGGACTTAATGAGTTAACAGTATCCTTTTAAAGAGGCAAGACTGCTGCCTTCTTACGATTTCTATCCTGTCCAGCTGTGCCCATCAGGGTGCAGTCTGGATGGAAAGGGGATCAAAGGCTGCATTCATTTCTGTCCATGCTTTAATTTAAATTTAACTCCAGTGTGCTTTATTTCGAACTGCAGTCTTTCTAGGTAATGACATCTTCTGATTAACTGTTGGAATTACTGATGAATTAAAGGCAGTGTCTGTTTTCAGGTTGCAAAAGCTGTAATAACAAGCTAGTAAAAATAACTTAGAGCTTGATTTAAACCCATGAAAGCAAAGAAATTCAGAGTTACCCTGACAGTATTGTCCTTTGACATCTTCAACATTTTAAAATATTGTAGTAAAATGTATTATTGGCTTGCAGACTGGGAGTTTTGCAGCCATGAGGAAGACTGAGGCGCCTGGGACCAATCCCCAATGTCAAGGTCTACCTGGGCTGAATCCTTCAAGGGGTCAAACACTACAGCCGAATTCCCAGGCTGCAGTACCATGTCCAAGGAGGATGTGGCTGAGGACAGAACTGGAAAATGCTGGTCCAGCACCAGAACATGGCACTGCAAAGGATACATTTACGAGCCTGAGAGCCTGTCAGCAAGATGTTTTGCCTTACCGTGCTGTTGCCTCTTCTGGTGCAGCTGGTGGTGGCAGCTTTCCAAGCACTTCTCGTGGAAGCACGGGGCTGTTGCCTGGGATGCTCAAATTTTCCTTACACCTCACCTGCGTATGTGATTCACACTAATTGCTCTCACTTGTCCTTCTGAAGAGATATGAGGTCTTTGAGTGAAGGAATGATGAAATCTCAGCTCTTTTCAGTAGTATGATAGTAAATGAGGAAGCAGGTAAACTCATAATTATGCTGCACAAGAGCAACGAGTAAATTCTGTTCTGGTCAAATTAAAAGTGGGTAATTTACCATTTACCTGCCACATCACCAGGCCTTTTGATGTCAGTGGTTAACTGCTGACTTCAGTCAGGTTGTAGGAGAAACCCTGACTTAGTACTGATGTCTGAGGTTAAAAAAAAAGTCAAGTCATCTTGTTATTGCTTAGTCTCCCTTTGGTATTTTGTTCTGCTTTAAAATAACTTGGGTTTTTTGTGGTTTGTTTCTCTTTTTTTTTTTTTTTGACAGCTGTCTAGTTTTATAATATTTGGGTTTCAGATATTACAGGGATATTAATTTAAACCAGTTGCCTTTATTACATTTTTTGAAGTGAGAATGTATTTTTATTTGTTCTTAAAGAATTTATAAGACGTGGTTTTTTAGTGTTTAAATCCCTGTCTGAGTTCAGACTGACAAGAACCTAAGTTTACTGGCACT